TTAATACACTTTCATGCCGCCTATAGCGCAATAGCGTATGCGTGCGCGGGAGGGGGGGGGGGGTTAACAGCTGTATACAATCATCTGTAATTTACTTCTAAGGAATATCTACATTGGGCACCCCTCTAATATTTATAGTACTGCCATAGGCTACAACTGTGCCAAGTTTGATGCTTTTGTCAACTCTGTAATGATCATGAAGCTAAGGGACCTGACTAAAGTGTTTACAATCACAATTGCATTGAATAACCGAGTTGACGATCAGCGCCGCGCTGCGGATTAGTTCCGCCGGTACCCCATTGCAAGACGTGTGGTTTGTCTCTGCACATCACAATTCGTAGACAGCATTCCTACCCAGTAAAATGAAAAACTGTGCGTTTGTGTTTGAAACCAAGATGTTATTAACTTGGGTGCCTATATATCATTTATGTATGTTCCTTAATATTCTATTATGTATGCACTGTATCTAGCTCAGTAAATTATGCAGTAAGTGTGTCTGTAATGCTTATTCATGAAATTAATGTATTCCAGTGGCTTCACGTACTACAAAATGTCAAATCTGGACAATCGGATCAGCAATGCTGACCAGCTGCTGACACAGGACACGGAGAAGTTCTGTGATAGCATAGCTGACTTGTACTCGAACGTCAGTAAACCACTACTGGACATATGCCTCTATTCGATCAAACTTGCAGCCTCCATCGGAGCTCAGGTGGGTATTAGCCACCATATACTTTGTATCGCTCATACATACTCATAGTATGTGAGAGTAGTTAATGAATGTTATATTCGTTTGTGATATTAAACATGGTAATGCCCGTAGACCATTCACCCTTTGCGGTGGCATTCCTAATTGGCCTATTCATGTGAGCAACATGTCCGCCTGAGCATGGTAATCACTTGAGATGTTTTTGCTAGGTTGGTCAAGCTAGACCATTTTACGCATTAGTTTTCTTACGTGCGAATGCCACAATTTCAACTTTATAGCACATCATTTTCACTAATTGGTTTTAGAATGCTCTATTGCAGCAATAATTGGGTAGATCTGCTTATTGATAATGCGATATAGATAGAAAAATTAAGTTAGTCTATGAGCAAAATATGAACGACGTATGATCACAAACAGGAGTACGTGCACATGTTGTAAAGTGTGTGCGTCAAACGTATAAAGTATCATTCACATTCACCGCAGCATATTTCTGATTTCGCCAGGGTCCTTCCTTCATGATGCTGTACATGGCATTTTCTGGGCTCATCCTGACACGACTGCGACGACCCATCGCGCACATGACGATGATGGAGCAACGCTATGAGGGCGAGTTCCGTTACGTCAACTCACGTCTCATTACAAACAGGTGGCACTCTCACTGCTCTCTGTCAAAGTTCATGCGGTGAATCTGTATACGTAACTACACGTCGTGGGCGAACGATGAAGGTCTATGATCTGACCTGATGTAATAGTTAATAGTTATTGGGTACAGTGTGAGAACAATAAGACATATCTTGACAAGATTTATACTAATTTGTTGTTAAAGGCTCACAATGTGCATCCAAACGCTAATTTCTACAGTACTAGACTAGCAAATACTTCGTGGCATGAATAATCACACTACCTTATGACAAAATAAACTCTAGCTCCTCCAATTTCACTGCGCGTTGTCTTATAAAAGGTATTTTGAAAATACCTCCAATGTTGTTGAAATTCTCCGATGTTGTTGACAGTTTCCCCAATCTCCAAGCAACCGTGCAGCGGTGGCGCGGTACAGCGGTACGGGCGCAGCAAAGATAGAAACATGTGACGTCACCAAACCAAGTCGATGTTATGTTGTTTGAAACAAGTTAGCGTTGGCGCCTGATTACCTGATTTCGCACCTCTTTCTTGTTGGGAACGCGCAGTCAAATGGGAGGAACTAGAGTTTATTTTGTCATAAGGTAGTGTGATTATGCATGCCACAAAGTAGTTGCTAGTCTAGTACTGGAGAAATTTCAGCGTTTGGATGCGCATTGTGAGGCTTTAATGGTTATCGTTTTACTGTAGGTTCTTTAGTATAGTTAGTACTATACTTTATATATATACTTTATATATACTTATACTATATTTAGTACTGTTTAGTATAGTTCTTTACATAAGTCACTCTACATATCTCTTCTGTGTGTGTATATTTCAAGAAAGCGTCTTGTCATGATCTATTCCCAATTTGTCATTCACAAATGTTTTTTTACTTATGCGAGGTTATGTATGTTTCAGTGAAGAAATTGCATTCTATCAGGGGAATGAAAGAGAAAAGTGCACAATTTTGGGAGCTTTCCAACAATTGGTAAGAGGGCTATAAGTATCAGCATGACATATATGTAGGGTCAACAAGCAGTATTCGTAATGCGCTTTCAGTATTTGATTGTATGTTCAAGTATGTGTTGCATTTTATTGCTTACATTGTTTTGTGGGTACCATTTCTGTCATTCCAGGTGAATCACTTGAGAACGTCCTTAGAGTTCCGGTCACTCATGGGAATAGGTGACAACATCATAGCAAAGTGTAGGTGCATCTAATTACAACATAGATTGCCAAACGATCGCTCATCGCTTAATAATAAAATTGGTATATTAGTCGCCTATTGATTCTGCTGTGCCTTCTGCAATGTTCCGTCGACAGACGTTGCGACACTGGTGGGCTACACGGTGGTGAGCCGGCCGTTCCTCAACCTGCAGCATCCCAGACACATGAGTTCAACTCCCAGCGAACGACTGGAAGACTACTACCAGTCCGGCCGAATGCTGGTCAAGTTGGCCGAAGCGATTGGGCGGCTGGTCTTGGCCGGGCGTGAGATGACCAGACTGGCAGGGTGAGTATGTTCTTTAAAATAGTATGGATTTAGAAAACTATTGTTATAAGTATATATAAATCAGATAAGTTTATAGTCAGATACTCAGATAACAGTGTTTTACACTCCATACTTGTCGATTTAACATCAGCATGAGTCTGCGTGGTCATAAAAGTTCTGCCGTACTTTTATGGATGCAGTAGTACTGCTTTTAGTATTTTAAAATAAATTCACAAACCGTGTTATTAGTCTGTCTGTAATAAACCCAATTTCGTTGCTGAAATTTCTGGCAGGTTTACGGCAAGAGTGACAGAATTAATGAGGGTATTGAACGACCTTAACAAAGGAAGATACCAGCGTTCCATGCTCAGTGACAACCAGGGCAGAAGTAAGCATTTTATATGTAGCTCTTAGTTTTAGGACATAGTTAAACATGAGTATTGTGTGCACACTATGGGGCAGACCCTTTTTATTATACATGGCAGTTATTGAAAATAATTTAAACTAATTTGTGAGAGCTTCAAATAGGTCAATTGAGAGTGTTATAGATTAACGTTTTCATTCTGCCTCCCACTTTCCACCCCTATGCTAGTTCATTGCATAAGTTAAAATGTATGAAAATGGCTGAAATTTAAAAATATGGAATTGAAAACAAAATACTTACTCACAGTTGTTTATTACAGTCGGATCTAGTAAGCTGAACGTGATTCCTGGAAGCGGGAAAATAATCGAGCAAGATTACATCATCAAATTTGACAAAATGCCTCTAGTAACTCCAAATGGGGATGTTTTAGTGAGAGAACTCAACTTTGAGGTAATATCGCAGCGGATGCTAGGTCACAATTGAAAAAATCTTTGTTTGCCCTCGCCCGACCCAGGCTGAAAAGTTTGGGTAGGTAGGTCGGGTTTTTTTTAGGGCGGGGGTCTTTTTACAAATTCAGCATGGTGTCTACATGCTCGGGTGTGCTTGTGTGGAGATACCCTTTATGTTGAATGTTTGTTTTGCTTCAGCTTGGTACATATAATGTATTGCATACAGATTTATATAGTGTACAGTGATACAATTTGTTTAAAAGAAAAAAAGAAGAAAAAGATCAATAAAATTGTTTGAGTCGACCCTTTTTTGCGGGTCGGTCGGGTGAGGGCAAACAAACAATATTTTTATTATGGCCCTAGCTATCTGGATCAACTTTTGTATAGACATGGAGGTTCTTACATTTTCTAACATATGTGACCCGCTCCCGCATAATACGGACTAAGTCGCAAGTCATTGTTTTGAGTAATGAGCATGCACACATGTCAATGCTGAAAATGGCCTACCTGGACAAAAATAAGTTCCTAAGTGCATATTTAATCCGGATATATAGGTTCAGATATCTCTAGATTATTATGGTCATTTTTAATTTAAAAATATATATATATATAAATTTTGAGCGGCAACGGCGCCCTTCAGACCGGCCCCTGACCGCTTATCCCCGACTGGGCCCCTTATCCGGAACGCTTTGTCTCAAAAGCTGCTTATTCCGGAATAAGTCGGTTTCCGATCTTCAAATTGCTGTAGATCGGTCAATTCTTTAGATATAGCCAAATATTATATATCATTTTAAAGGTAATTAAATGATCTATTCAGATATGCACATAATTCAATATGTAGAATTTCCTACTTAATCCTGGTTTTGCTGGAGCGGGTCACATATGTTTTAATTTCTATGCTCCTAGTACCATATGCATCTGTTCTAATACCTGTATCTCTCCTACAAAATGCAGGTGAAGTCTGGGACGAACGTATTGATCTGCGGACCAAATGGCTGCGGTAAAAGCTCACTGTTCAGAGTGCTTGGTGAACTGTGGCCTCTTTTTGGTGGAACTCTGACAAAGCCCAAGAGTAAAAAACTCTTCTATGTGCCACAGGTATGCTTCCATTCGGACTCTACTCTGCCTCATTTGTACAACATCTGTTTTTTCTTCCACCGGAATTGGACTGTTTGAAAATATCCCATTTTTTGTTCATTGTTTTAGCGACCATACATGACGATTGGAACGCTACGGGACCAAATTATATATCCAGACACACACGAAGATCAGCTAAACAAATTTATCTCGGATAAGGACTTGGCAGATCTTCTGGAGAAGGTACGTAGGCCTATTAAAGGAGAAGTGGCATGCTCAAGTCATAGAACCATACTATTATCTCTTTACCAAACGATGGCAACTGTTACGGATAGAGATCAGTAATATCAGGAGTGAATAAAAACGAAATGTTTTTTACTCACTCCTGATAATATTAGACGTAAATTTTTAGCTCATCTGACATAGTCAGATGCAGCTTGTAGAATCGCATGATTGTTCGTGCGTCCGGCCGTCCGTCCGTGCGTCAACAGTTGGGCACAAATCTTAATCGCTCGACGTACGGTCACGATATTCGGGACGCTGGGGGAGTGGGGGTAATCCGAAAACGAGTTGGCGATGTCGAAGGCTCAGGGGTCAAAGGTCAAGGTCAAGAGTGTAAAAGAAGGGGAAAATTCACTCCTTAACTTAAGGTATAGGGAGGAAATGCAGAATTGGCGGCACAAATCAAAACGGCTCGCGATAGTCGGTGTATAGCACATGGTAGGAAAAGCCATCACTGTGCCGAAATTGGAAGATCACAGTCAAAGGTCAATGGGGCACGGGGCAGATTTTAGACATTTTCTGAGACATGGTCTGACGGAGCGATTGAAAAACTTTTTGTTTCAGCGGTGACCTAGCATTTTTATGGCTTTATTGAAAGGTCCATGAAATGTACTTTCTGCTGACATGCGAAGAGTAAGTGTCGGATAACCTTTTGACCCTTAAGAGGAGGGTTAAACATGGATTTGTTTACTGTTAGAAGAATTGACTGCCGGTTTGCTAATAGAATCTATACATGGCCTGGATGTATGAGGCTACAATGTCACAGTGAAATTCACAAAAGCTAAATTGGTTCAAGAAGGTTATGCTCCTTAAATCCTATCAATTTCTATGCATTCTGTTACTGTCAGTGTGTTACATGTAACTTATGCCACTGGCAGTGGCCACTGCCAGTGCATGTGGTGGTGATAAGTACTGTGTAGTTTTTGCCTGCGTAATTAAGTTAACAGGTGGCAGCTCTCTATTTCAGCCTGTAGACTTGCGTAGGTAAATGGATGAGTGCTTACCTATTCTGTCTTGGCAAATAGTTGTTGCTACTACGTACGACATGGGAGCTTCCATCTTAAATCCTGAGACACTTAAACGTACGTCCATCTTGTGGCAACTTTCATAACGATCCCAACGAACATTCCTTTGAGAAGGTCCTGATACCAATCCCTCTGTGTCTTCCACTGTTTCGGCACGTATGGAACACATTTGGGACTAACAGGGTTTACTCAGAATCCCACCACTCCACCACAGAGTCACGCGCATAGACGTAGATGAGCGCTGTCGCTCCGCGGCACTTGTTGTGAATTCATCACAGTTTAAATATTTATTCAGGTGAACGGTGGGTGTTATGTAGATTGGCATATTCCTTACTGCTGTCATATCTGTATATAGAATAACCTCATATATAAACGAATAACCTATAGAAATTCACATAACCTTACTTACATGAATTCATTGGTGTCATATTGTGCGGCAGGTTCAGTTGCTGTACATTTGGATAGAGACGAAGGCTGGGATCGGTGCAAGACTGGATGGATGTACTGAGGCGGGAGGAGAGAAACAGCGAATAGCTGTACGTATTAGAGCTATTCGTCAAGGCATGTCGGCATGTTAGATAAAGATCAGGGAAATAATGAGATTAGTGTAAAATTAAATCTCGTTGAATACTAGGTAACGTTATGCATATTGTGATCACATTACGTATAACCATACGTACAATAGGGAAAAATGACGAGAACAGGCAAACAATTCCAGTGGCTGTGTCTAACTGCAGCAGCATTATTGAGAACTGTGTTAATAATAATGACAAGTAATTTACCAAAAAAATCTAAAAAATGAGGTGGTATTGTATATTGCTTGTACATGATTGTCTTTGTTTGATTTTGTGATATGAAGACTGCATGCGGTGGCACTGTAGTCAGCATCTATTCTGTATATCTTAAGAGGGAAATGACACATGTATCAATTGTAAATGTAGAACAGTCGTGAAAATAATTCTATGCTTTAACTCGAGTTCAGCGGTCCTGTGGCTTAAGTGCAATGACGAGGGACGTGATTTTCCTGTTAAAAAAAAATCCTTTTGCTTCCCGTAATGGCGCGACTGTTCTACCACACAAGCCGCAGTTGCGATCCCTGGACGAGTTGGCACGAGCGCGGTGACGTGGATGTGGAGTCGAGCATGTACTCAGTACTGCCGGAGTCGGCATCAACGCTGTTCACCGTCTCAGAAAATTTTAAAGAAAAAAAAAATGTTTTTAACTTTTTTTTTTTTTTTACAACGAAGTCGTTGTGGAAGCATCACGAGGTACGTTACCCTGGCATTTTAA